GATGACTTTATTCCCGTAATAGAAAAAAAAATCTCCAGCCTGGCCCTAAGACTCCGTCGTATAATAGCTATAAAATGATTTTCTATACTCTAATAATCCTAGGGGGAAATTACTCTCTGCATTTAACCCCTCCCCTTGGGGAGCAGTGGGCCGCCATTGTGCGGCGCCCGGGGAGCAGGGTGGGGTTAAGGGTCTTACTCAGGGACCCAGAGTGCGAACTCACAATCTCAGGATTCAAAGCCCTATGCCCCAACCACTAGGCCACCACCCCCCATAATAAATATAAAATAAAATAAAAAAATAAAATAATAATAAATGTAATATTAATTCGTAAATCTAGATAAAATGATCATGAATGCTGAGATTCATTAAGGTCACAAAGTGTCTGAGGGAGAGATGTTATTTATCTTATTAGGGAGGGTTTGGGATTAAAGAATAGTTCTCATAACAAGTTAGAATGTTTCTCTGGGATTATTTAACAATAATAATCCCATAAAGTTATTTCCAACTGTGGAGACTTTCACAGCCTTTCTGCAGGGAGAGACAATCGCTGTGGAGCTCAGAACATCATGCTCTTCATCTCTTGTTTATGCTTTTCAAAGTACCGTAAATCCTCTAATATAGGACGGGGCCTTTATTTCACTCAGGTGCATCTTGGTCCAGGCCATTATTTGAAGGAGGCCAGAATTAGAGGCAGGCTTCTATTTCTATTTGATCAAACAGACGACCAGTGGAAGGAATAAAAAACAGATTTTGTTTCTCTTTAAACCTATAAAATATTAGTTTCATTTATTGAAAAAGTACAGTTACCATAGCGATATACAGAACATTATCCAGACATCTTCCAGAAGCTGCTATTTCTCTGCAGGTCAATACGATAAAAAAAAGACACAGAATGGTTTCTTTTTTAAATTAATGGAAACTGTTCTGCTATCGCTGCGAAATCTTATTTAAGGCAGGCTAAGTGGAAGTAGGCTACCAGTATCGCATATTTCAAGGTAAATTCAGAACAACGAAGGCCAACGACATTCTGTCATTTTAACGCTGCCTGGTTACCAGCAGACCTACCGATGATCACGTCTTTCATATCAGAACGATTGTGCAGCTGGTTATCCTCCTGCAGCAGTGTGTCGCAGTGAGCTTGATGCAGACATTTTTGATTTATGCTTAATATTGAAGCGTGGTCTGCTCTATACGCCGTGGGTCGAGGGAGTGAGGAAGTGGGGGCGAGTAGTCCGACAACGGAGGGACATGACGGCGAAAAAGAGCGGAGATCCAGGTGGAAAAAGGGTCCCAGCGTCTCGCGCGCCTCGATCTTCTAGCAGGTCAAACTTCACAAGTTGTTTTCCGCAATTTCGGTCATAAAAACAAAACAAGCCGGCCTCCTGTCTGCGGCGCTGTCTGCGCCAAGGATGGGACTTCCCATGCTAATGGCTTGGATTCATTAGCAAACACTGCCCCCCTGTGGTAATTGTATGTTACTATCAGAAGTTGCTAAGGACGGCCCAGAAACATCGTTGGTTCTAATTATAGCCCCGGCCTGAACGAGTCCGGCCAGTATTTACCTCCGCAGACAGCGAGATCGGCCATTATTAGAGACCAGACTGCTAATGGAATACAGGCCAATATTAGAGGATTTACGGTAAAATATAATGCAGACTGAGTGAATCCACTGATCTCTGTTTATGTAGCCGGACTGTATAGCTGAATATCTGGAAGAGTTAACTAGGTGAGGACAGAGAAACGTGAACCTTAGAGAGTTTTCTGTCCCACTTGCCTTATTTTTCGTTTTTATACGGAATGCAGCTAGATAATCCGCACGGTTCATTTTCATTATTTAACGGTTTGATGTTCTTCTGAACTCCGACTGTGGCTACATTATTTTATTTCTTTAAATGTTTTGACTTTGTCAGACTTTTTTAAATTACGCTGGATTGATAGTTTCTAAATGATCCTATGGCTCCCCCTGGTGGTTGTTTGGTAATTTCGTTTGGTTAACCTGAAAAAGAATACAAATAAATATCTTAAAGATGCAAAATAATCCAAGATGGCAGAATCTAATGTCATAGTGTACAAGTTAAGCTAATCCACCTGAAAACATTATTGTTTTAGACGACATTTATCAATAAATTCCGAGTTACTCATTCTCGTATAAACCCTGAAATGAATCAGTTTTATATAACGT